GAGAAACAGCACATAAGCATCATCATCATCCTCATCAGCAGCAGCAGCATCATCATCATCATCATCCTCATCATCCTCATCATCATCATCACTATCATCATCATCACTATCATCACCATCATCACTCTCATCATCATCATCATCACTATCATCACTATCATCACCATCATCACTCTCATCATCATCATCATCATCATCATCATCATTCTTCCTGTTAAAAGGGAGTTTTTCCTTCCCACTCTCACCAGTGCTAGCTTAATCATTAGCATTATTGCTGATGATGTTTATTTTGGAGTTTAATGAAGTCATTTTGAGACATCCACATTTTCCAATATTATTCAAACATTTTATTGTCAGCACTTGAAGAAAAGTCTTTATTTTATTATTTATTATTTATTTAATTCTACTAAAAAGAAACTGATGATATTTGTGGAGCTGCAAACAGGTTTTCTCCCTTGGGCCGTCTCAGGGCGTTTGTACGGTGTCTCCCTCCAGGTGAGCATCCCCTGCAGGCCAAGCCTCCCCTCAGCAGTCGCTCTACCTGGGGCATGGTGGGAGCTCGCAGACCGCCTCCCGCCTCTGAAGCTGCAGCTGTCTGCATCTCTGCTGGAAGCGGCGCCTCCTGCAGGTGAGCAAGGAAGAGCGCTGTCAACACCTCAGCGGGAGGAGGAGGAGCGTCCTTTAAGCTGAAGCTGAGCTCAGGATGAAGGACAGACTTTACAGAGTGCTGGAGCTATCTGTTCTTTATTTTTTATTATTTTGAAATTAGTTAAAGTTTGTTGTTAGTTTACTTATATTTTGGGGTTTATTTACAAGTTTATTTGTTGGTTAATATTTGTTTCAATGTTTGTTTGATGTTACTTTGTTAAATTAGTCAGTAAGAGCTGTAGGGCCATTTTGTTTCTATAAATAAAGAGACTGGTATAGGACCAGCATGCACTGGGGTGGGCCTATGGTTTTTACCAGAGCAGGAGAAGCAGCAGGATCTTGTTGTTGCCAAACTGGATGAATAAACCATAAAAACGCAACTTTCAAGTTTGGACAGTGGACTTCTTTTGCCTGCGTACGAAATATTATCTCAGTGCAGCAGTGGCTTGTGGACTTTTAATTGTGGGATGTTTGGTTTGTCAAACAAAAGGAATTGCCACTACACAGAGCTTTCTTCATGATGATGCATAACAAAAATAAAATTACTTGAATCTTTGATTAATATGATGATTATTTTAATGAGGTAGTCAGTTGATGAGTGAAACTTTATTAGAAAATCATCAAACGGCCTCCTTGTGTCACATTTCATACCACAGCATATGAAACATGTCTAACAGTATGATCAGCAGCAATGCAAAGAGAGAGAAAATTCTTAAAAGGCCCTGCAGGTGGCGCTGTGTGTGGTTGGCTTGTCTCCATCCTGTGAAAGCTGAGGTCTTTCTGGAGGTGGGCAGCTGTGCGTTAAACCTGCAGTCCCGTTGCTGTCCAGCAGGGGGCGAGTCCTCTGAAGATTGACTGGATAATGAGTCTCCTGCTCAGCTTGACCTCTGACCTCAGTGGTGAGATTCTGGTCTCAGTCACTGGTTTCAAGTCTGGTTCAGGCAAGAGGGGAACGAGAAAGTCAGAGGAATGTTTGAGTAGCACCTTTAAATAATTTTCTCACCTTAAAAACAACAAATCAGTTCATTCAGGGACCAACAGCACACTGCAGCCTGATGTATAGAGATGAACTTTAAAGTTGGAAAAATTACAGTTCTGAAGATCCACTGTTATAAGGCGATAAACTTGCCAGCGTACTACAGACCTTAAAAACCAAACAACACTCAAATAGGCAACAAAAGACCAAGAAAACAACGTAAAAACACAAGAAAATCACTTCCTGTTACTTTAAAGAAGGAAGAGTTATCAAAACTGTACAAGATGCACACATATGTGAAAGGATCTGAAGGAGACTTCAGGACTCTTAACATGTGACAACATGTGACTAGGATGGAGCGTTGCAACAGAAGGAGACAAGGTTAAACAACGAGTGACAGAGACCTGCAAGGCCGTCGCTCCAGACGAGATGCACGTTTCTACATCGATGTGAGGAGAGAATGCAACGATAATCAACAAAGATTAATCTCAAGATGTTAGATGATAGAGTTTCTATCAGCGCTGCAAACTTTCAGTAGCTTTAAAAAACGGTGGTAAGATCATTAAAATGAGTTTCTGACACATTCCTAAAGTGATGACTTCAGTCTCTAAGTGAGTTTATTGTTCTATTATTCTGTCTTTAACGCTTTATTGAAAGGAGCCTCTGCAAGAAGAAGACGAAACATTTACAACTTTACAATAATTAACACTTGATTGCATCGCGGGGCAGAAAATCCAGCATGAGGTGAAGAAATGTGTGCGTGAGTTCTGCGTGTTCAGATTAACGGTAAATTAACTTTATGATAATAAAGTTTTGTTGAGGACCGTGAGACAAATGCATGAGTCACAGTTTAAGTTCATTAAGATTCATTTGAACTTTATTAGTGATGATATTTAAAGGTGTAGAGTCACCTCCAGATTCTAAACAAAACTACAATCAATTTATAGAATCTGAGATTTAATCCAACACATAAAGTGCAATAACTCTGACTAACATCTTTATTTTTACGACTCGTTTGGGTTCCTATCTGCTGTTTAGTGAATGATCTCTGTCATCTACACTGATTTCCAC